CTGCCGCTGCTGCTGCTGCTCTCTGTTGCAACTCTGGGAAAGACGGCGTGAGCGACGGCGACGGCGACGGTGGCGAGTGACAGAGTACCAGCATGGATTAAATCAGCATTTCTCATGTCTGCAGGCTCTTGCCGGCCCACGCCATTCGCTCGTGCCACCCAGTTCTGGCCGTGCCTCTTGCCCACATGTCGACATATCAGGCTCATCACACTACGCAATGCGCACGCACCCCCCCCTCCCCTCCCCTCCCCGCGAACACCGGCAGCCACCCGCCAGCGGAGGCAATATCACCACTCCCGCTCGGCGCCGCCCGAAATCCGTCCCCGCCGTGCGCTGTTTGGCCCCGCTTGGCCCCCCGCGTGACCACAGCGCAACCTCGGTGCGCGCCGCGTCCTCTGGCAGCGGCCATCCCATCCAGCTCTCCTCCTCGTCTCCCACCAACGCGATGGCCGCCCTCAGCCTCGCAAATTCGCCCATCACCCAGGTCTCCCAGACCCCCGTGCAGACGAATCTGCAGCCGCACCTCCTGACCCGGCTGCTCCTCGACCTGCGCGGCAAACGCTTTTCCGTGGACCGCGAGACCATCATGAACCTTCCCGAATCCGTCCTGCTCTGCCTCTTTCCAAACGGCCTCGTCCTAAGCCGTCAGAGCGCAGCCTTATCAGATGGGGGCGATAATGACGACTACGAGGAGCTCTACGCTGTCGACGTGCGTATTCTATTGGTCATTTGGCCGTGATCCATGCGAAGGTCCGCTGAATCCTGTCACCAGTTTGATCCGGACTGTTTCTCATACGTCCTCTCCTTCTTCCGCAACGCCTCAGACTCGTTCTACGGCACCCCCTCCGACCCCGGCCTCTTTGCCGCCCAGCAGCAGCTCGTCGACGGCGGCGGCTCCCCCGCCTCTGACTTTGGCCCCTCCGCGGCGCAGAACCCGCTGCTGACGAAGCAGGCCATCATCGTCCTCCGCGAGGAGCTCGAGTACTTTTCCATCCCCCCAAAGGCCGGCGACGCGGCCACCAACGCGAACGGCATCGCCAACGACGCCCTCCTCGCCCTCAAGCGCAAGTGCGGCGACTATCTGCTCCACAAGCGCAACATCTTCACGGCGCTCCAGCGCAACGTCAACAAGGAGAACAACGTTGCCGAGCAGCACTTGATCGACATGCTCTGCATGAGGTGCGTCGTCCCCGCCCGCGCCTCCTGCTTGCCGAGATTGATTGCCTCCACAGCGGGTTCGATCGCGAGGACGAGTGGGGCTACCGTGCGATGGAGCCCTCGCGGTGCTGCATCTCGTCCATCGCCCTCGTCCTGCTCAAGACGGGCATCATCCACCAGCCGGCGGGGCCGACGGGCGAGAGACAGGTCACGATTGATTACAGCCAGATGGGCACGGCGCAGAAGCTGCTGCTGTTCTGGCGGAAACCTGCGGTGCGTGCGGGCGCAG